TCTTTTCATTTTTCATTGTATGTTGATTCAGATACTGTCAAACCATTTTAAAGTCTTTGAGAACTGGCCGAACAACTGAAGTGGAAACTTGGAAACAATTAGTGTCATCTCTTGAGGAACGATTAAGAATCCACCAGCAGGTATATTTTAGTTCTTAAATCACATAGCCTTTTTTCTTTATAGAATTAAGAAGACAATTTAATGTACAGGGTGGTTACTATACAAACTTGGCTCCTATTAAATTGGTCGGTAAATTGCTCACGTTCTTTGATAATACTGCTCGTGTTGGAGGCCAATCTCCACCTCTTCCTTCTACATTGAATAGCAATGTTCGTCAAAATGAGTTTGCTCACCAACCACGAGGCTCAAACACATCTGAAAGTCAGCCTACAATGTTAATGCAACCGCTGACATCTTCTTTATCAATGGATTCAACAATGGCCATGCCATCAATGGTGCCTTCTGCATCAATGGAACCCATTAGTCAATCAACTAGTTATACTGATCTAGCATCAATGCCTAGTAGAAGCAACTCTGAACCAGACTTTGTTCAAAGTGACAGAAAGGTAACTGCTTAAATAGCTTTGAATTAATTTCTTTACACACAAACATGCAGAGGAATCATTTTGCAACCATTTTTATACTTAATTGTTCACGATCCTTTCTCAAAGACACTTGTCCTAGTCCATGTGAATCCTTGGAACAGTGGTGGTATGTCTGGGTTTTCAGAACATGTTTCACGGCAATGGGAACACCACCAAAAATTAACGTAGGAAGATTTTAAGAGCGTTGCAATATGTTCCTTTGAAAGAGTTGGGATAAGTTTTATGACAAAAAAAATACTAATCTTGAACTTGAAGATCCAACTGTTTTGTTGGTTTTACTTTTTGCTCATATGACATAAGATTAGTGTAGTTTGACTGTTGCTATAGTTGTGCTTGAAAGATTTTGTTGGATAGGTATTAGGAAATGTGAGTATTATATTGGTGGTTGGGCTATTATTTAGTTGCAAATATTTGAAGCTAAGGATCATATTCTGTTGGTTTCTCTGTTCATATTATTTAAGTCTTGTACTTTACCAGCGTGTAACGGTAGTTGTGTTTTGAAATTTTTGGTAGTATAAATCGCAAACTATGTTACTCGAACTTTGGTATGAGAGTCAGATACCGGGTATCTGTTGGATGTTGGTATGTTTGATTTTTTTCTGAACTTTTTCCATGTATTTGGTGGATCGTACCCTCTATGCTGCCCATGTCCAAATGTGGGTCATTCACAATTCTCCAAGAAAAATAGAGTCGAAGCACTGTATATCTCACGAGTCAAGTTTTGGAGGTGTTGTATTTCTTTTTTCGTTATAATCGTGGTTATAGCTGACAGTTATTGAAATAGCATCTGTGATATAACATAACATAATTACAAGAAGCATCATGAACAAGGCAAATGTGAATGCCATTTTCCTTTTACCCCTTAAATTTATATGTTATCAGGTATTAAGATGAGAAGATATCATTTTCTTTCAAGTTCCCTGTAAAGGAAAGTTTGTCTCTCCCCATTTGCACTGTGCCTTTATTATCTTGTTTGGACAAAGGGTGCAACAACAAATGGCTGTGATCTTATGTGTGTTTCTTTGTTTTTGGTAAGGTTAATTCATCCAATGAAGCTAACTCATCTGGAAAACAAGAAAAAGCAGCTGTGTCAAGTGGGCCTTCTCGATTTGGCCTTTTTGGTTCACAGCTATTCCAAAAGACTGTTGGTTTGGTCCTAAGATCTCGACCTGATTGCCAGGTAATTTATAGGAAACTGAATTTCTGAAAATTACTCTTAATGCATGTATCTTATTTTAATTGAACTTCTGCTGCATTCCATGTTGAACATTGCAGGCTAAACTGGGTGGGGAGAACAAATTTTATTATGATGAAAAGCTCAAAAGATGGGTTGAGGAAGGAGCTGAACCTCCTGCCAAGGAAACAGCGTTGCCACCTCCAGCCACTAATGCAGCTTTCCTGAATGGAGTAAATGATCCGAGTCTTAAAGATATCCCCAAAACGGAAAGCTTTCACACAAGTAGTGAAAATAAAAGCTCCCTCTCTTCTGAACGGAGCTCTGGAATTCCACCAATTCCACCCAGTGCAAACCAGTACTCTGCTCGTGCTCGAATGGGTGTCCGCTCGAGGTATTGTAGTTTAACTTATTAGAATGTTATAAGATCTCTCTCTCTCTCACACACACACACACATACACACACACACAGTGTTGTTGCATGCTTAGTCTCCTTAGCTTGTAGTTGTTGCCTTATTCTTAATTACTAATTTTATGTTAGTTGCTAGTCAATGTTTTAACCAAGTGTTTTCTCCTTTATCTGACGACGAACCATTTCAAAATCATTTCAGGTATGTTGACACATTCAACAAGGGCGGAGGCAGCCCTGTAAATTTATTCCAATCTCCTGCTCCATCTGCAAAACCAGTGGCTGGTTCTAATCCCAAGTTTTTCGTCCCTTCTTCTGTTACATCTGGAGAAGAGATGGTTCAACATAGTGGGGAAAGCATCCAGGAAGCAAACACGGGCAATGAAAGTCAAGCAACATCTTTTAAGCAAGATTTATCTCTGCCACCACCACCACCATCAACGAATATGCTAAGGTTTCCTAGCATGGATAATATCGTGCACAAAAGCATAGCAGCAGCATCTGATGGCAACTCTCGACGCATAGCATCTTGGAGTGGAAGCCCTCCACAAGAAAACCTCCACAAGAAGCCCTAGGCATACCTTACACTCCCTCCAGTTCAGGGGAAAACCTTCATGAAATCAAGCTTTGAGGTATGTGGATTGAGGGAGTTGTAATTAAACTCCCACTGCACTGTTTTGGTGTTGGGGAAAGATGAAGAGGTTTTGAGTTGGGTTTTTGGCCATTCCCACACCTGAGAAACCTATTAATGGTGTCTCAAAATGCTACTTGTACAGGTCAATGAGGGCATTCATCATTCACCCAATGCGGTTCTTCTGCCAATAAATTTGAACCACCTCTTATTACTTGCCAACTTCGACACTTTTTCTTTTTTGGTTTGATTCCCTGACTACTGGTAGCAGTTTGAATAATTTTAACTTAATAAATTATGGGGAAGGATGAAAGGAAAATGCATGCTTCTGGTTCCTTCATCTGCATTTATTAATAAATTGTCTAATTTGTTCTTTTTTTATATATAATAAATATTTGAGATTTAATTCTTAAGAGGAATATGATATTTTTCAAATAATTTAAGTGTTTGGTTATTTATTGTTGTTTTGTGATCGTATGATAAGATAAATGAACGTAAAATTCTTTAACTTCAAACCAGAAAAAAAATGTAAGTCATTTTGGTATTCCTCTTGAAATCGTAATTGTTTAGTATTATTAATTAACATGTACTTATAATTGACATTTCAGCAGGGATGGCAGTATGACCTGAACTCGATGGGGAAATTCGAAATCCGATCAAGTTCGGGTCGGGTTGGGTTGAATGATATCGGGTCGGATATCGGAGATATTTTTTGGAATTTTTTCGGGTCGGGTTCGGGGTAAGGTATCCTCGCCCCGCCCCGCCCCGTCCCGATTATATATATATATATATATAATATTTTATATTTTTTATATTAATTATATATATAATATTTTATATTTTTTATATTAATTATATATAAAATATTTTTGGGTTCGAGTTCGTGTTTAGGTATAATATTTTGGGTCGGGTTCGGGGCAAAAAAAATCTCCGACAGGACGTCCTGATAAAAAACCCGTCGGGGTCATAGATGATGATTCATTTTGGGTTCGGAGATGGGGCGAGCAAAATCTGCCCCAAACCCGACCATTTGCCATTCCTGCATTTCAGATATATTATTGTTAGTTACAAAATGCATATTTATTTTTTAAATATTATAATACATGAAATATATTAATTTAAATTGTAGTAAAAAATAAAAAATAAAAATGTTAAGGGGAAAAAGAAGAGAACACCATCCATCCAAAGGAACGCACTGCGTACGGAAAAAGAGGAACCTAACCGTTCGAGTAGAATCCAGGATTTGAACTAGAAGAGTAAAAAAATTTGAGTTATTTAAGTTGGTAAGCCTTATTTTACAATTTGAAGTTAATTTTATATTTTTCGAATCGAGTCAAGTTTATAAAATTAGATTCGAGTCAAAACTTTAAATTTCTATTTAAATTTAATTATAAATATTTATAATAGTATGATATTATTTTTTCAATTAAAATGATTTTTTATAATTATATATAACAATCCATTATGGTGTAATTTTTGATAATATATATATATATACATGTATATATATTATATATATATATATATATATTTCTTTTATATCTGATATACATATATATGATATATAATTGAGAGACGACTCAAATTTATAATTCATCTATTAATTATTAAAAATTTTGAGTTATTCAAGTTGTATTTTATAACTCGATTTAAACTTGAAATTTTGAGTTGATTCGAATTTACAAAATTACAACTCGAAATTATTTCAAATTAAGTTTTTTCAAATTAAATAAAAAAAGTAATTTTTTGAATCAGTAGAGTTTTGCTTAAACAAAATTTCTCAAATTCTCTTCAAACGCATCTCTCTCTCAATCCTACAAGTTTCATTCTCATTTCTCATCAACAATCAAAATTGAGTTCCTATTCTTTCGGTTAACAATTTATTATATAAAAAAATATCTCCTTTCTTTGCTTCAAATCTTTTATGGCCTTTTTCGTTGAAATCAACCGATACAATCTGATTCCACTCACTCACTTCTCTCTGTGCTTGCCCATGCCGTCTCTTATCCAACCGCTCTCCAATAACCCCTAAACTCAACCTTAACTTACTCTTTCATGCTTCTGAACCGGTCTTCCAGCTTCGTCCTACCGATATTTACTCCAACCGGCTGTTAATTACGGCTGTGGCTCGTGTTGAACCCGAAAGTTTCAACGAATGCAATGCCGATGAGGTACCTTTAATTATGCTTGGGCTCATATATTGACAGAAATGAGAATGAAACTTGTAGGATTGATATTTCAGTGACATCTGCTGCATTTGTTGTGGCTATGGCATTGCTCATGCAAAGGGGAAACCCTCGTTTTGCTCAGCTTAGCAGTACCATGTTTGGGTTATTTTATTGTGGCTACCTCCCTTGTTTCTGGGTTAAGCTCAGATGTGGTTTTGCAGCTCCTTCCTTAAATACCAGTAATAATATGGATTCACACACTTTTTTTGTTTGTGAATCTAAATTTTAGACAAATTTATCTATAAACAGTGGCCAGTAATATTTGCTCAGCTGAAAGTGAGAGCTGAAAATGGTATAATTACTTCTATGCTGCTGTTGCTAAACTTTGGGTGGTTTGGTTTATGATTTGGAGTTTCTGATGAAGGATCTCGAAACTGATTTTATTTCCTCTATGTATTATATTTTCAAATGCGTCCTGTAATTTGTAAACTCCTTTTATTTCCTTGGATTTGAAACTTAATTCATCTTTATTTTTGGGTTTGACTCATTTGCATGTGTGGTTGTGCCATTGTGGAAAGGAGAACGGGTTATGAATGTTCACCGAACTGTTTTACCGGTTGGAAATGAAACACTCACATAAACAACTTTTATTAGAACTCAAACAAATATTACAAAAGCACTCTCACTCAAAAACAAGAACTACAACTCACTCTTATAGGACTTTGCTTCTTCACTCACTTAGAAGCTCTTAATTTTTCTTGATGCTTAAACTAAAATGGGGAGGGGTATTTATACTACTCGAGAACAATCCTACACCACACAAATAAAATAATTTAAACCATTAAAGTCTACAAATACTAACTCACACCTAACTAAATTGATATAAGCAATGACATCTTCATCTAATTGATGTAAGCAATGACATCAATTTAGTTTTGGTTTAGGCTCCCATAGTGGATCAAGTTTATGATCCAACACCCCCCTTAAACTTGATCTTGTGATTCCTAGTAAGTTCCTTAATCTTATGAAGTCTTCGCTTGTCAGGGGCTTGGTAAAAATATCGGCAACTTGATCTTGTGACTTAATGTATTCAACTTCCACATCGTTTCTTGCAACACACTCCCTTATATAGTGGTAGTGAATATCGATGTGCTTACTTCGATCATGGAATACTGGATTCTTTGCTAAGGCAATGACTGACTTGTTGTCGACACAAACCTTGGTAGGCTTTTCTTGTATCAAACCTATCTCATTCAATAGATTTCTAAGCCAAATTGCATGACAAACGCATGAGGTAGCAGCAATATATTCCGCTTCACAAGTGGACAATGTGACAATCAGTTGTTTCTTTGACATCCATGTGAAAGCAGTATCTCCCATGAAAAATACGAATCCAGTAGTGCTCCTTCAATTATCTATGTCTCCACCCCAATCACTGTCGCTATATCCAACAAGTTTGTAATCATTAGAAACTGAATAGAACAAGCCAAAGTCAATTGTACCTTTCAGATAGCGAAGAATTCTCTTTGCGGGTTTAAAATGGGTGGTTGTTGGAGATTCCATATAACGACTAACCAATCCAACTGCGTGAAGAATATCAGGCCTCGTGCAAGTTAGATAGCGTAGACTTCCCACCAAACTTTTGAAGAATGTTGGATCTATACTTTCGCCTTCTTCATGTTTGGACATCTTGATCCCGTATTTTGTTGGTGTGCTTATTGGCTTACAGTTTTCCATCTTGAACTTCTTCAGGATCTCCTTTGCATAGCTTTCCTGTGAAATGAAAATTCCATCCTTTTGTTGCTTAACTTCAATGCCAAGGTAGTACGCCATGAGCCCCATGTTTGTCATCTCGAATTCTTTCATCATCACGTCCTTGAATTCATTAAACATGCTTGGGTTGCTTCCGGTGAAGATCAAATCGTCCACGTAGAGGCACACGATCAAAATATCTTCATCTTTGATCTTGATATATAAAGCGTGCTCGTAAGGACATTTGTTGAAGCCATTCTCTTGGAAGCACTTGTCGATTCGGCTATTCCATGCCCTTGGTGCTTGTTCTAGCCCGTAAAGAGCCTTCTTCAACTTCAACACCTTGTCTTCGTGCCCTTTGACTTTATAGCCTGATGGTTGCTGAATATAAACTTCCTCTTCAAGAACTCCATTTAGGAAGGCAGACTTTACATCCATTTGTTGTATCTTCCACTTGTTTTGAGCTGCCAAAGAAATGATTAGTTTGGTAGTGTCTCCAATCGAACAACATGAGCGAATACCTCACCATAGTCAATTCCAGCCTTTTGACTATACCTTTAGCAACTAGCCTCGCCTTGTGCCTTTCAATCTCTCCATTGGCGTTTTGCTTTGTTTTGTACACCTATTTGACACATATCGCCCTATGTCCCTTGGAAAGTGAGGTAAGAGTCCATGTGTCATTCTTCTCGATGGCCTTGATTTCATCGTCCATCACATCTCTCCATTTCTTTTCTTGTACTGCTTCTTGAAAGCTCATTGGTTCACAATCAACAAACAAACAAAATAATGTAATATTATCTTGTTGTTCAGTTACCTCATAGAGATCTGTAAGGCTTCTTGTACGTTGCACAACTCTTTCACTTTGACTTCCACTTGACGATGACGAAGGTGGTGAGTCTCCTTGATTGGCTGATGTTTTTGAAGTGGGTGGAGTTTCAAGCTCTTGTTGAGGTTCACCTAGTTGTTCCCTCATTGTCTGCTCATCTTCTTCAAACTGAGGAAAGAAATTTAAGCCACCTGCATGAGAGTTAAAATCCCATTCTCCTTCTTCGTTGAAAACCACATCTCGAATGATCTCAATCTTCTTATTGTCTGGATTGTATAGCTTGTAGCCTTTCGAATTTGCATCATAGCCGATAAAGATAAAACTCTCTTTTATCATCAAGCTTCGTTCTTCTCTCGTATGGTATGTGAACATGAGCTATACATCCAAAGGTTCTCAAGCGGGAAATGCCAGCTTTTCTTCCACTCAATGCCTCTTGTGGTGTCTTTCCCCATACACTTATTGTTGGAGATCGGTTTGTCAAGTAGACTGCACACGCTACTGCTTCCGCCCAAAATTCCTTGGGTAGTTTCTTATTTTTGAGCATGCTTTGTGCCATGTCGAGGATTGTTCTGTTCTTTCTTTCTGCTACACCATTTTGTTGGAGGGATCTAGGAACTGTCATTGGTCGACGAATTCCATTTACTTCACAGAACTCTTGAAACTCCCTGGAAGTAAATTCTCCACCTCGGCCGGATCTCATGGCTTTGATCTTTCTACCGCTTTCTCTCTCCACTACTGCTTTGAACTTCTTGAAGACTTTAAAAACTTCTGACATTTATTTCAAGAAATATAGTCAGGTTTTTCTTGAAAAATCATCAATGAAGAGAAGAAAATAGTTATTGTTACCGAGAGAGCTTGGCTTAATCGGTCCACACACATCGGTATGGATGAGCTCAAGTGGCTTTTTGGCTCTTGTCTCTGACTCCTTTGGAAAGTTTTTCCTAAATTGTTTCCCGACTAGACACCCTTCACAAAGTTGGTCAGGATGGTTGATGCGAGGTAGTCCCTTCACCATCTCCTTCTTAGATAGTAGGTCTATACCTCCAAAATTCAGATACCCAAATTGAAGATGCCAAAGCCATGATGCATATTTGTAGCAAGCTTTCAGGCACTTTGCAACATCATTTTGTATGTTAATCAAAAACATTCTATTCTTTAACATCGACACTTTAGCAATGAAATTATTCTTATCATCTTTTATAGAAAGATTATAATTATTCATATGAATATCATAACCTTTCTCTTCCAGTTGCCCTAAACTTAAGATGTTATTTTTCATATTGGGCACGTAGTAGACATTTGAAATAAATTGATGTCTCCCATCTTTCAAACGGATAAGAATATTACCTTTCCCTTTCACTGCTATTGTGGAATCATCTCCAAACGAAACATTTTCGCTTACTGATTCATCTAGCTCCACGAACATGTCTTTCCTTCCACACATGTGATTGCATGCACCACTGTCAAGATACCAGGAATTTGCTTGGCCACCATCAGTTTCCTTTCATGCTAGAAGAAGAGTTTCTTTGTCATCTGTCTTTTCCTCCACATAGTTGGCCTTCTCAATTTTGTTGTTGGGAGCTCTACATTCTGAGGCATAATGCCCAAACTTCTGACAATTATAACATCGAACTTGAGATTTGTCATATCTCGAGTTCGGATTGATTCTTCCACGGCCTCGTGTTGAGCTTTCTCATTTCTCATAGTTGTTGTTGGAATTGTTGTTGTTGTTGTAATTCTAACCTCGTCCACGACCACGACTTCCACCTCGTCCATAGCCTTTACCTCTGCCTAGGCCATGTTGGTTTCTATCATTGCGTTGGCTTTCATGCATATCCTTGAGTTGCAGCTTGAGGAGTTGCTCAGTAAACTCATGCTTCTTCTTATGTTTCTCTTCGTATGCTTGCAATGATCCTTGGAGTTGCTCGATCGTCATTTCTTCCAAGTCTTTAGTTTCTTCAATTGTCACGACGATGTGCTCAAATTTGGGATCCAATGAACGAAGTATCTTCTCTATTATACTCACATCTTCTAACTTTTCACCATTTCTTTTCAATTGATTAGAAACAGCTACTACTCTTGAGAAATAATCTAAAATAGACTCGGATGCTTTCATATGTAAGGATTCAAATTCATCTCTTAATGTTTGGAGACATACCTTCTTCACTTGCTTGGATCCTTTGTAAGAGGTTTGCAGCTTCTCCCACGCTTCCTTTCTAGAGCTTGCACTCGAAATCTTTTTAAAAACATCATCATCTAATGCTTGATAGATGAGGTAGAGAGCCTTCTTTTCTCTCTTTCTTGAATCCTTCAAAGTTGTCTTTTGGTCTGGTGTAAGAGTAGCAAAAGCATCATCATCCGCAGGCTCGTTATAGCCTTTCTCTATGACATCCCCCACATCTTGTGATCCAAGAAGTGCCTTCATTTTGATACTCCAATTGTTGTAGTTGTTGTTGTTAGAGAAAATAATCTCAGTGACCAAAAATCCCAGATAATATACGATTTTGACCAACTTTTCTTGGATTTACGAAAATGACCAACAAAATCGCAATGCGATCTTTAATTCGCATTGCGATCTCCACTATCGCAAATTCGCGTTTCATTTCGCGTTGCTATAGTTGAAAATCGCGTTGCGATTTTCCATTTCGCGTTGCGATAGTTGAAAATCGCGTTGTGATTTTCCATTTCGCGTTGCAATAGTCTACAGTTGTCGTTGCGATTTTCCAAATTCGTTGCGATAGTATACAGTTGTTGTTGCGAAAGTCTACAGTTGTCGTTGCGATTTTCCAAATTTGTTGCGATAGTTAAAAAAAAGATTTTGTTTCTTAAGAATTTTCTCTAAAAATATAGTATCCGCGCGGACATGTCGAAGACACGTATTACCACGACCACGACCCGAGACGAGACGGACGGCGGCGGCGGCGGCGGCGCACGAGAGCCCCCCTTGTTCTCTATCACTCAACAAGGAAGTGGGAAAGCCAAGCCTTAAATACCATTCCCAATAGTGTTTCCAATACTATGTGGGATTTGAGCATTACCAACACTTGTTCCCAATACTATGTGGGATTGAGCCTTAAATAGTGATATTATTTTTGAATGTTTTGCTTAAAATTGCAATAATCGCGATTGATTGTAGATTGACTTTTAATTATGACATATTTAATCGTATAATACTAATGCAATTGGTTGCTGATTCAGTTGTTTTAAGGTGCATGATTGTTAATTGTTTCCTGAATAATCACATTGTATTGGAATCAAGTGTTGGTAATGCTCAATCCCACATAGTATTGGAAGCACTATTGAGAATGGTATTTAAGGCTTGGCTTTCCCACTTTCTTGTTGAGTGATAGAGAACAAGAGGGACTCTCGCGCGCCGCCGCCGCCGTCCGTCTCGTGTCGGGTCGGGTCGGGTCGTGGTCGTGGTCGTGGTAATACGTGTCTTCGACACGTCCGCGCGGATACTATTTTTTTAGAGAAAATTCCTAAGAAACAAAATCTTTTTTTTTAACTATCACAACGAATTTTCGCAACGAATTTGGAAAATCGCAACGACAACTGTAGACTATCGCAACAACAACTGTAGACTATCGCAACGACAACTGTAGATTATCGTAACGCGAACTGGAAATTCGCGTTGCGATTTTCTATTTTCAACTATCGCAACGCGAAATGGAAAATCGCAACGCGATTTTCAATTATCGCAACGCGAAATGCAACGCGAATTTGCGATAGTGGAGATCGCAATGCGAATTAGAGATCACATTGCGATTTTGTTGGTCATTTTCGCAAATCCAAAAAAAGTTGGTCAAAATCGTATATTATCTGGGATTTTTTGTCACTGAGGTTATTTTCTCTTGTTGTTAAGTGTCGAAACTTGGAATGGTGCCATACCGTTTTCCATATCTCTCAATATAATAAGATTTTGCAAAATCCGATTGCACGGATGAATCTGGAACGCCGAAAAACCTTGGGAAGGACTTGGACAACTCGGTCAATGGGCTCCAACCCGGCTGACTCGGCTCAACTCAGTGAGTCAACTTGATTTTCTGGCAGCAGTCTTTCGGCGGTGCGTGGTGGCAGTTCAGAACTAGATTGGGAAGATTTTTGCGGCGTCAGATTCTTCTCGTCGAGACCTTCTATCTTTCCAACTCTCTTTGATGCCATTTTGTTGGAAATGAAACACTCACACAAACAACTTTTATTGGAACTCAAACAAATATTACAAGAGTAATCTCACTCAAAAACAAGAACTACAACTCACTCTTATAGGACTATGCTTCTTCGCTCACTTAAAGCTCTTAATTTTTCTTGATGCTTAAACTAAAATGGGGAGGGGTATTTATACTACTCGAACAATCTTATACCATACAAATAAAATAATTTAAACCATTAAAGTCTACAAATACCTAACTCTTACCTAACTAAATTGATGTAAGCAATGACATCTTCATCTAATTGATGTAAGCAATGACATCAATTTAGTTTGGGTTTGGATTTAGGCTCCCATAATGGATCAAATTTATGATCCAACATTACCAAAGCTTCTTTTCGGCAGGAATAGGAGCTGGATGTCCTTATCTTCTTGGTGCCCAAGTTCATTGGACAGTAGGCCTTGTGGCAACCTTGATTTCTTTCATCAGCATAATAACGGCGGATACATATGCCTTTTTGGGTGGAAAGGTATGTAGTCTTCATATACATGATCGTGTTTCACTTATTTAAAGACTCTAAGATGCCATGAATGCTACATTAGTTACAGTTATTTATTGGCATGAGAATGATTCTTTCTTTGCATTTTAAGTGGTCAACATATCATTCAACAACCGTGCTTATGTTTGTCCCCTGCTGTGATGCAGGCCATTGGCAGGAGACCACTTACTAATATGAGTCCAAAGAAGACATGGGAAGGAGCTACCGCTGGCTTGGGTGGTTGTATTGCAACTTCAGTAGTATTGTCAAAGATTTTAAGCTGGCCAGCCTCTTTGCTAAGGTTTTCAATCTATCTCACAAGTAATAATTTACTAAATGATATCCATAGTAACTTAAGTGCCTGGCATAAATTTCCAAACAAGACCGGTTGTTTCAAGACCAAGAGTTAGATTTTTTACTGTTGGCATAAATTTAAACTATCCCCATTGGTTACAAGTTGATTTATTTTCATTAATATGTAATCTGATGTTTACATCATCCGGTGTTCATGCACCTTCATGCATGCAGACATTTTGATGGTCAATGTGCATGTCATTGTTTGAATTCCGAAATTTTCTATCTGTCTGCTCACGCATGTGCATGGAATGCAAGTGTAATGATGACTGATTCTCTGATTATTTTGAAATTAAACCAAATCTTTGGCTAGGATCACTGCAAGCATCAACTGTTAACCACCCCAGGAATCACATATTGGGATTATTGGATTGCATTGTTATCCTAAAAAAGAACATTAACCCCGAGACCTTGCATGTTTTTTTCATTGGTGTAGTGCAATAGCCTTTAGTTCACTCCTTTTTAGCCTCATGAACACAAGTTTAGTGTTTGTTTCATTAAAAAATACTCTAAACCCAATAAATATAATCTAAAATCATTTAAATTCTTTTAAAATTATTATAATAATAAATTTATCATTAACAATCTTTTAAAAGATACTAAAAATATAAATCTACAATATAAACAAATTCATATTTTTTATTTACAATATTATTATGTTGTACTTTTAAGAATAAATTTTCTAGCAAGCGAATCTCACAAAGATTGAACATATATTTATCTAAAATATCACATTTAACAATGAAAATTTAAGAATAAATTTATAAAAAAAATATTCTCAATTGACGTAACAAGGTATTGATGTCATTTGGTAGAATTAAAACTTAATTGACACAAAATCTTATAATGTTAGATCAATAAGAATAAAATGTAATGCTAGATGCCGAAGTATACTTAAATTAATTGATAGGTTGAAGTTTTTGAATTTTGCTTTGGTTGTGATGTTCTAAGAAGATAGGTTTGTTTTTGTCATAAAAATTCTTTGACGCTATAAGAGTAATACAAGTTAACATATTGTAGACATGTATTTTCATCCTAGAATTTCTTACTGTTTAGTTTATTTTTGTTTTGTTTTATTTTGGTTATATATATAGTTTTGTAAAATATATATAGTTTTATAAAATATATAGTTTGGAAAAAATATATATATATAATATAGTTTGGAAAAAATATATAATATAGTTTTAAAAATATATAGTTTTGAAAATAATTTTGGAATATATATATATAGTATAATTTTGAAAATATTTTTTAAATAATATATAATATAATTTTGAAAATAGTTTAGAAAAATATATATAGTATAGTTTTGAAAATAGTTTTGAAAAATATATATAATATAGTTATGAAAATAGTTTTGAAACATATTTAATATAATTTAAAAATAACTATATTATTAAAAATATAATTTATGGTTTTGAAAGTTTATATTATTATTATTATTATTATTATTATTATTATTATATTTATTTGTATTTTAATTGTAGGGTTCGGGTCTAAAATTAAGTCTAGAAGTCTGGTAAGTGTCCAAGCCCAATCGGGCTCACAAGCCTGACCCAACAGGTGAGCCCGTTCAAGGTCCAGGAAGTAACCCAGCAGATCAAGCTCGCATACAAGATAGTAGCTAAGGTTTTGTATCATTCTCCCAGCCGCCGCACAGATCTGGACCAATCCAACGGTCTAGATTGAAAGATGCAAGGGTTTTTTCTTAACCAGAGTCGCCGCCATCGATATCACCGACCAAATCAAAGAAAATATGGGTGAATTAAATGCCCCAGCTACCTAAAATCAACATCGCCCCTAAAACGGCCACCGCCATAGCCCGATGACTAAGAGGGCTCCTCCCTCCTACCGGTCCGAAAGATGGTCTTAAGAGTCCTATAAAAGGAACTCAACAAAACCAACAAAAAGAGGAACAACCAACAGGAGATACGAACAAAAGCAGACCAAAAACAACCATCAACAGCAACTAAAACAAGCACAATAATCAAACACAACAACTACTACAACAACAACAACCAAACAACTGTGAGAAAAATTGGAACAAGCCTTAGAAAATCGAAGGTAACCCTTTGTTTTCCTTTAGATCTAGGACAGTGGGGTTATTTTTAAGGTGAGTGGTGTTCGGATTTGGGTAGAGAAAAAGTCGGGGATCATTTTGGGTAATTTTTTTAAGTTTCCAGCCACCATGGACAGTGGCCGGTGGTGGTCGTCAATGTCGATGTACGGCGATCGGCCGGGATGGCCATAATCGGCGGGAGGAAGAGAGATGAGAGAAGGAAGATAATTTTCTCTCTCAAAAAATGAAAAGAGGGGGAAAAGAGAAAAATGAAAGGTTGAAGGCAAACTGGTCAGTTTAATGGGTATTTATACCTTGGGCTAAACGACGCTGTTTAGCAAGGGATCTAAGAGTAATTTTTTGTGTGTGGGTTAATTATGTTTTAGGTGGATCTTTGTAACTTTGTGTTTGTCATTAAATTAAAGTTTTATCTTTCTGTTTTGAGCTTCTTCTTTTTTCATATTTATTATTTAATCACTACTTTTATTTATACACATTTGGATAAATACTTGATTTAGTCCCTATTATTTTAGTGGTTTATATTTTAATCATTAATAGCGATCATGGTTAAATTACAATTCCAATACTTATTTTGCATGTTAGTCTTATTTATGGCCATAATTTTTGTTTTCTTTGCATTTTAATCCTCAAATATAAATTTTAATTTTGAATAATGTACATATTTATAAATTTATTAATAAAACAAAATTTTCATATATTATTTTATACGAGTAATTTAAAGAAATACCCCTTAACTAACAAAGAGTGTGTTTCTGAGGATTGCTTGAATAAAATAATTTTTTTTATGTTTTAAATGAATTTATTTTTTTCTATTGTTATATTTTTATTGTATCTAAAATTTAGGGTAATACTATTTTGTACAAAGAATCCATAAAATTACCCCTTAATTGACTAGGGAGGTATTTTCAAGGATTATATGTATAAAATTACAAAATTTTTTTTTTTCTAAAAAAATTATCATAATTTAAATATGATTCAATTTTGTCAATTTCAATATTTAGATGACTTATAATCGCTTAGGTATCAATTTCGGGCGTTGTGGGGGTGTTAATCCTTCCTCATGCATAATCGACTCCCGAACCCTTTTTCAAAATGAATTTCTGGTCAAACGCAGATCAATTTTTTTTATCTTTTAAAATTACTTTTCTTAAAATTATTTTGAAAGGTATTTTTAGGTATTCAACCTACCTAACCCAAAGGTCGATGGCGACTCCAAATTTATTTATTTTCACATTTATTTTAAAACCCAACATTTTCCCAAAATTAAGTTGGATTGATCCTCTATAGCCCTAAAAAGCTGAATGGATCGTTTTGACAACTTGGCGACTCCGCTGGGGATAATTTTTTTTAAAGAGTCAAGTTGTATTCGATTATACGTCATCTTTTTAGTTGAAAATAGAAAATATGAATGATATTTAAATTTTGATAATTAAGTTTTGTTTGTATCACATTGAATTTTTTATTAGTCATACTAATGTGATTGGTTTACATGTTTCAAATTTATAACCTTTTTGGCTTGATTGTTCTTGGATTGAGCCAAAGGATTGTGAGTTTCCCCTTACACACACCATAACTTTTTGATATTTAGAGTATTCTAACTGTGCTTTATCCCGTTACGTAGGGGTGAACGCTACGCTTACGTGAGAAAAATTATTTTTCTCCGTATGAGCTTTAGCAAGTAAACTCTAGGGGTACATATGCCACATGTTTACGAGTGAGACATCGAGTTTCCTTGCATGAACATGGGGAAATGCATCCTCTAGAATTAAACTCAATCTATTTAAACATATAATGGGTGAGGATCAAGGTCTGGTAGGCTCAAGTGGGCACCAGCAAAGGACAATTCGAGTGCCCTGTTAGTAGTACCGAATTTCTGCCCATTTTATACTGAATTTATGTCCATGGGGGAAACTCATTCTAACATTTTCCTCGAATCTACTTATTTATTTTTGCAAGAAGCATGAGAGCTAGAAAATTATACGGTTAGGTTTTATATCTCTATCCGAAGTCTGCGAACTAGAAAAATGTGGTTAGGATTTATTAGCCAAACAAAAACATGAGGGTAATGTTTATGATATATTTTCTTGATTATTTGATTGTTCATTATACATACTGACATAGTTTTATTTTTTGTCTCTATTTTTGATACTATTGCATTTCATGATCATTCATAAAAAATGTGTTAGTTCACGAAGTGGTCATCAGAGTAGAAAGCAATCATAAAATGGACAAGAGTTTTCATAACAAGGAATTAAAGAATGCAGAAGTGAGGTCATTGTCTGAATAAATTCAGAGAAAGAAGGGGGATAGTCTGAATAAAGACTTGTTAAATACATTTTGATGTTTCGATATAACAAATTAAGTTAAATGAATTTTAATATATTGCAAATGATTTTCTAAAAGTAAATTTGATTTAATTACTCGAATATCAAGCTATTACTCCAAGTCTTTCAAGATCAATTTTAAACCTTACTAAATGTGTAAAATTTTGTTTTATACTTAAACTATTTTTAAACAAATTTTCACAAAGTATTTTGAACCAAAATCAAGCCTAAAATCAATTTTTCAAGGGCATGCACCGATGCACCAATCCATGCATCGATGCATCAATTAATTTCTTGAACATCGAATGTATTTTATACATCGATGCACATACCATGCATCGATACACTCAGTGCATTTGATGCATCGATGCACAAGACCATGCATCGATGCACTCAGGCTTTTTCAAAACATCGAATACATTTTATGCATCGATGCACTCTTAGTGCACCGATGCACTGAGAGTCCAACGGTCAAAATATTTAAATTTTACACTGATGCACCAATGCACCTAGGGGATGCATCGATGCACAGACGCTCCCATCCACTTTCATTAATTGTTTTC